AAAAATTATTTAACATAAAATTAAATATTTTAAAAATATTTAATGGGAATTAGATCCAACTATGTTAAAGAAAATACGAACATATTGAGGCACTCCATCTCTTCTAGTGATCATGTCCGAAACTCACTTTCTCAAACTGACCTAACAGTTTCCATGACCAACATCCTACTGTAGGGGTTTAGGATTAGAATATCAAAATTAACCAATAGGTGACGAGATCACTTGGATTACAGGTTTCCCCTAGGGATAAGCCGAGGTCACATATATCTGTGCACACTTATCGCAATTAGTTGACAGGGGTTATCTTTTGTACATGTACATGTCACGCCTTCAATGGTGCCTTCTTCCCAATATGGCTATTATATGTACATGTTGTGTGATAATCATGATGAGGATTTGACCCTTATCCTTTCTGGCCCTCCCATCGCACATTAGGTCATATAATCCGTTGCCCAACCACTCTGAGCATCTCCCTGACCTCATCAAGGGTTAACCCTAAATCCTCTACAATTGTGCCTCATGCCCACAGATAAAGGGTTTTAAACTCAACTTGGCCTCACTTGTTAAACTTAGTTTGAGTTTTAGCATCAATATTACCATCTTTGGTCCCTCTGGACCATAATCCTTTGGTCCTCTAAGACTGTACTTCCATAGGAGTTATCATATCAATATAGTCATAGTTTTACATGCTTTCATAAGGCCTTTAAATGGTTACATAACCCCAACATACATCTCTCACTATATCAATATGGCATCTAGAAACTCATTTCTTTTCTAATAACTACTAAATTAAAATCTCTAGCTACCCTTTCATAAGCTTTTTCTAAATCAATAAATACCATGTGGAGGCATTTTCCTTCTCTTTGAGCTTCTCTATCATTTGCCTATGTAGGAAAATGTTCTCAATTGTTGACTTCCTTGGCATAAAAAATGATACATTCGTTCCATGCCTTAGTTATTGCTCAGTCACTTTCTCCCACAACTTTATAGTATGGCTCATAAGTTTGATTTTTCGATAGTTTGCATAGTTTTGTGCATCTCCATTGTTCTTGTAAATATGCATCACAATACTTTTCCTCCATTCATATGTATGTTTCCTTGTTCTTAACATCTTATTGAACAACTTGGCCAGTTAGCATATGACAATCTCCCCCATGCACTATTAAACCTCTATTGGGATACTTTCTGGTCCTGAAGCTTTTCCTATCTCCATCATCCTCAAAGCTTCTTTCATGCTAATAGCCCCTCCTAGCACTAAGTTCCCGTTATTGTCGTCTTTTAACAAATTTTGAAAATAAACTCTACACATTTTGTTGACCTCGTCATCCTTTACCAAAACCCTCCAGTCCTCACTCTAAATATATTCAATATGGTTTGGATCCCTATGCTTCTTCTGTCTTATTTTTACGAGGTGGAAGACTTTTTTTTTTCACCTTTCATTGACCTCTTGAAGATACACCTTAAATTTAACTTTACTTATTAATTTCGTAGCTGTTTTCTTAGTATTTTTATATTATTCTAAGTTTTGATCATTTCTATTACATTACCAAGTTTTATAATATGATCATTTTTGTTAATAGTTTTTTGAACCTCATTATGCCATCACCAAGTTTCCTTATCATAATTTCTTTTTCCTCTAGTTTCTCCTACAACTTCTTTTACTATTTTCTTAACACAGTCATCCATCTCATTCACCATAACACTAACTTCGAGTTTAGGATTCTACTTTCCTTGTTTTACTAATTCATCTCTAAATAAGTCTATTTTCTCCTGTTTTTAAAATCCATCACCTACTTCTTAGACGCCTATTAATTTCACTCTTCTTCCATCTCTATATGCAGACATGCATAATCATGAACCTATATTGCACAGTCAAACTCTTTCTTGGGATAACCTTACAATCTGTACATAATGATCGATCTACCTTCTTAACTAGGAATATGTCTATCTGGTTTTTATATAATACACTTTGGTAAGTTACTAAATACTTATCTCGCTTTTTAAAGTAGGTGTTTACTATTGTTAGGTTGTAGGCCATGAAAAAATCTAGAATGACCTCAACCATCTCATTTTTTTTATCCAAAATTGTCCTCCCGTGTACCCCTTCATATCTTCTACTCTCATTCCCTACACGACCATTTAAGTCCCCTCATAAAAAAGTCCTCTCCCCATTCGGTACGTCATGGACTAGTCCATTCATGTCCTTCTAGAATTGTCTCCTAATTATGTTATCTAATCCTACCTATAGTGCATAAGCACTAATTACATTAATTATCTCATCTCTTAACACAAGTTTAAAATAATAAGAGCTTATCACATACTCTCTTGACATTAACTACTTTATTATTTAAGTCTTTGTTTACTATTATGCTTATATCATTTCTATTATTAACTTTCCATATATACCAAATTTATACTCACAATTTCTTTCGCTGTCCAATTTTCCACTTAGTTTCCTATAGGCAAGCTATGTTTACTCTCATTCGTCTCATTGTATTTACTAACTGTATTTACTAACGTCATACTCTTACTTATTAGCGTTCATACATTCCATATGGCTAAATGAATTCTATGTTCTTGAACTAGCTTCTTTACCCACACTCATCCAAAATATTGCGGGTACCTTTGCCTATTTTTTACGCAATTTGGTGGAACTACGATATGTCGTTTATGGGGAATGCCCTAGCTAACCCTTGCTCATATCTTACTATACCCCGGTTCTGATGCAGTATGTTGCTTACGAGGAATGCCCAGACCTGAACAAATAACATATTTTAAGATGCATAAAAAGCCATAGCAAAGTTTTATACTGATTGCCTACCTAACACAACACTTTTCCTTTACCTTGTTTTGGGATCGGCATTGACCGGCACAAAGCTGGCCAAGGTGAAGTTACAAAAAGATAGACATTAGAAATAAAAAATTCTCACTCAAATTAGAAAGTCATGTGGAAGTAAAAGCCAACAACCGCATCCTCCTATCAATTTATAATTAGAGGAACATTGCAACCATTCAAGAAACATATAACCGGAAGCCTATTTGGACATGTGCCTATAATAGAAAGCCAAGCATCAGAGCTTCCATCTTAATTGTACATATTTTCCATAATAGCATTGTCATCCTTTGGAGAAACCTCGGAAGACTGCTCCTTCTTTGGTTCTATCTGTGAATTCATTCATGAATTTGTGCTCCTTTACTCTTCTGAACCCTTTCTGCCTCTCTCATTGAATTAGAAAAGGAAGACTCACTATATCCAACAAAAAATTTTTGTAGGAAGAAAATAAATGCTCTCTCGACAATCGCTAAACCAATGCTCTCTTGAGAATTGCTAAACCATCAAGACTTTTGAAACAATATAGAAACATTATACTTCTAATCCCCAGATTTCAATCAATGTTCCCTAAAAAAAGAGGTGAGAACGGAAGAGAGAGAGAGTACTTGGATTGGTAAGAAGAGGGGTTAGGGAACATAGAGGAGAGGTGCCACAGATATTTGGGCAGAGAAAGCGGGACAGAGAAAAGCAACAAACTACAAATTCTTTATGATATTTTTTAGCAAATACTTATATCTATCCATTTAGATTGGATGATTGAGAATGCTGGCATATGATATATGAGGCATGTAGAAAGTTTTTCTTTTTCTTTTTCTCTTTTTAGGCTTGTATGGCATAAGGCAATTTATCTTTGTTGTATAGAAATCACAATCGTTTATAAGAGCCATACTTTTGAACTTTAGTGAGAACCCTAAATGAGAGAGAAATTAGCTTAGAGCGAGAAATAAACCTCTCCACCCAAACTTTTCCTAACCAAAATTCCAAATTTCAAGAATACCGCCAAACATAGTAAAGTGTATAAAAATTCTCTAAATATCCTCGAAAATCAAATTAGATGGATTATCTATAGTATAAAACAATTGATCTTTTATATAAAGGTATCACAATCAATTCCAACAAATGTCAAATTAGATTGTTTGTGGTGATTCAAAAAGTTCAAGAAATTTTCTTTTGAACTTTGTCAAATTAGATAACTTAGGGTCATTTTTTTAAATAAAACTTTGTTTTGAACTTTGAGCTTGATAAATGATGCACTATCAACCAATCGATTTTATATCTAATGGAGTGATTCTAACCTCCAACCACACTGGTGAATGGTCTTCTATTGTACTATTTTCCTCGATTAGGATTGAAGAAGACCGCACCAAGATAATTTTTTTTTTAAAAGACCAGTCCTATCCTTAACAAAAAATCTAAATCGACATAACAATTGTAAGTTTGAAATGTATACAATAACACCATTTATTTTTTATACAACGAGTTCACAACGATGTGAAATTGGTTGGTTGGGATGTGCCATTGGTTGGGGATAAACTTCAGGACAAAATTTCTCGAATATTATGCCACACATCAATCTATTGATTTTTATATGGAAATGTATATAATGAGACCACTTGCTTTGATATAAGAAGGTCACAATCATTATTGACCATTGAATGTGAAATCGAGTGGTTGAGATGTATCATTGATTAGACACAAAATCCAAAATAAAATTTCTTGATTATCATAACACACTTCTCAATCTATTAGCTTCTCGTACCAAAAATAAATAATCGCATAGTATACAATCCCATTTTATATTCAATAAATAAAAAGAAAATTGTTTCATATGGGCTGGACCGTATTTCTATAGTATGCGGTCCAGAAGTATAAATCATATATCTTAAAGATAGATGCAAATAGGTGGTCTATCTGAAAACAATTGTAATTTACATTTCAAACGTTTTTTAATATAATTATGATTTTTAGATTTCAATTTTTATTTTATATTCATGATTTCCATGTTAAAGATTATATAATCTATAAAAATTAAAATAAAATTATATTTAAAAAATATATTTATTGGTAAGCCCACATTTTTACATATGCCAGTTTGGCCGCATAAAAACGGGGTCCTAAATAAAAATGATTGGCCATAGTACGCATTCAAGTAAGTCGGCCCCTTCGGGCCGTCTGTACAATTCATCTCATCCATTTATTCAAAACAACTTAAAATGCACGCCGCCCAGAGAGAGCGTTATTCGCTTTGGGTACATGTCATAATCTATTCATTTCTGCCTCGTTCGATCTATGAATCTTTTCGAGACCTTTTCTCTGAATCTTTTCTGAAAGCCGACATGAATCTTTTGCATTCTAAGTCTCTGTCATCCACTCTGAGGTTTAAATCCCCTGAACGAATATATTCCAGAGAAATCTCCTCTCGTTTATTCTCCATCAGGTTTCCATTACGAATCTCTCCCTATCAAATTCCAAACCAAATTTCACATTAAAAAACAAAAAGGAAAAGGAAGAGAAGCTCATTTAAAACCATTTTTACAAAAAAGTAAGGCTTGTTTTAACTGTTTCTTGGCAGGTGTTGTTTGCCTTTCCCAAGAGAGAAAGCCAAGCATTACAGAGAGCTTGAGGTGGCGATAGATGTTGTGCAGAGCGCCTGCCGTATATGTATTGATGTCAGTTCAGGAATTTTCGTATTGAATTTGACGTTATAATTCTTCTGTTTTTGTTCCAGTGTGAATTCTGGTATTTTTCTTCTTTTTACCTAATTTGACTCTCCTCTCCATGTTAGTGAGAGTTTTCATCCAGTTAATATTGGGTTTTGCTATTATTTTCTTCCAGTGCTGTTAAAATGTGGATTGTTTGAGTGTTTATTGGATCAATTTTTCCTGTGCCGTTAGGTAAAGAAGTCTCTTTCTTTGAATGATGGCCGAATCGTTGAGAAAAATGATCAAACGCCAGTGACAATTGCTGATTTCAGTGTGCAGGCTTTGATTAGCTTGGGTAAGCGTCTAGTCTTCCTGTTATTCTTTTAAGAATGCAAAGTTGATGGGATGTAGATAATCTTGAATTCAGTGCGAAACACTGCTCTACTAGTGTGATGGATTGGAATAAAATCATGACTAAAATGATGTTTTTAATGGGTCTCTGTGGTGTTCATTTTATTTTCGGACCAAAAACGCAATTTTTTTTTCTTCTAAAAAATATGAAATGCTTTTTCTTCTAAAAAATATGAAATTCCTATTTCAAATGCTATTTTTGTTTGTGAAATAATGTCTGGTCAGGAGTATCTGAAGGTTGATGAACTGTATATGTTTCTTGCAAGAACTTTCCAACAAATTTGAGGAGTTCCCTTGTGGTATTGCAGAGAGTTTCTGAGGCAGTACCTATGAACTCACAGTATCTGTTGGGTTTCTTTTAGAGAGTACATAATAAGATAAAATGTATGTGTAACCAAATTTCATGTCCATAGAGCAATCATAACATGGGAGTCAAGATTTCTCAATGGTTATGCATATCAAGCATGATCAAAGCTGAAATGGCTAGAGTTTGGAAGGGGATATTTATGATCTCAATATTTTTTTAAAATGATGTCGTCTTTTTTAGTATATATGCTTCTCTAATATAATTTTCTATTTTTTGTTTAGCAAGTAGACACATATTAAAGTGAACACCTTGGTATAAAAACATCTTGCATTACTTCTCATTTGTTTAACTGTATCAGTTACCTGATTCAATCAGTTCCCCATTGTGACAGAGCTAAACAGATCGTTTCCTTCAATCCCTTTGGTGGCTGAGGAAGATTCCACTTTCTTAAGATCAAGTTTGACAAATTCAATTGAAGATAAGGATTACGCGTCTAGTTTCCTTGTGGACTCAGTGTTAGCTGCTGTAATCGGTAAAGCGAGCATTGAGAGTAAGCCTTTGAGTCAAGAGGATGTTTTGAATGCTATTGACAGAGGGGGAAGTGGTGCTCATACTTTTGATGCTAAACCTTCCACATATTGGGTAAGTTCAGCATGAGTTGTCTTTGATGAAAAGCCTGTTTGTAGATGATTGCTAACAGAAAACTTGTTTGAAGATGATTGCTGCCTTGAACTTTTAGATGTATATGCAATCATTATTGAAATTCATTCCGAATAATAACTTGCTTATTAGTTATAGATTTCCTTTTCTGCTTCATTTTCAGCAATTTAGTTAATCTGCATTGGAAGACCTTCAGAATTGAGATGCTATCATAACCAACAAGTTTCGATCTGATTTTTGAATCAACTTAATACTTGCTTCTAGTGAGTCAAGAATTCGGGGTGAAACTTTTGGCATTGCTTTGGAATATGTGGAATTGGATAATAATTGTGGCCCATCATTTATCATATGGAATCCATGCAAGGAGAGTATTGAGTTCAAATCATAAAAACTTTTCAGCTTTGTAGTTTTGACTATGTCTAGTTCTAAATGAACTTCTGATGGAAAATAGTGATCATGGCCATACATTTGAATGCATAGTTTCACAGACCTGCTTTTGGGAAACATGTTTTAGAAACTAGGATTTGTTGGCACCATTTCTGTCATCTTCCCTGCATTTCCCCATTCCTCCCTATCTACACTTTGCATTCTTCCTTGTATGTACCATATACAACTCCATGGTGTCCTATGTTTTGTTGGGCTGCATGTTCCAGTGCTTTTACATCCATTTCCGAGTGAATTAATTGGATTTTTCCATGCATTTCTGCTGATTCTGTAATTACTTCTTCCCTGTATCCATCTTGCTGACCATTTTCCCCTTCAAGAATGGTTTTATACTTCTGAAATTTCATTGCTGCATGTATCAGAGGTATATTTACTTGTACATTTAACTTGGTATGCTTGAAATTGATATTTTGGTTCATTATTTATTTGAAGGTACTTGATCCCATTGATGGAACCCGTGGGTTTTTAAAGGGTAGAAAGGCATTGTATGTGGTAAGTGATATGATGTTCTTTATTTGGCTTAGCATTACTTATATTAATTTTACAAAAAAGTTCTTGCTTGGTGTTTTTCATGTTAGGATCAAAAGGAGTATTCAATGATTTCATGTCTTTGTGATGTGCTCATGAAATGATTTTTTACATCGTACTCGTACTGTGAGATGATATGAGTGATGAACAGGCCACCTTTATGCCTAGGAAAAATACCAAAGAGATTCCACATCCTTTATGTGAATGCCAATCAACCAGTTTGATCACTTATAATAGTGGCATATCTCAATGCTCAGATTCTGCCATCTATGACAAATTACAGTTCAGCTCAATTGGATCAATTGTAATAATGACAGTCATGTCCTTGTTAATAATTATCTTCTACTCTTCTGAGCATCATAAATACTTGGCAGGATTTCTGTATTCTTGGAGAATAAAACATCCTCCAAGTCACATGGTTTATGAAATAATTTAATTAGTTTAATGCTGTTTACTGTCGATCTTTATAGAACTTATGTGAAAATGAAAAAAATCAGAAAAGAATGGGCATTTTTTACGACTTAGGACCCTATTAAGAGGGAACTCTATTTCACCTTGCTTGCATTGGTCAAATGAGATATCCAGTTGTTCATATTATTATGTTGTGAGCAATTTGCTGTCTTTTCTGAGATTTGATGATAAGGTCTTTTCTGTCACAGTAGCCCTTAGTACAAATGGTTATTGTTTAATCGTTGTTGAGGTAATTCCATATGAGTTGGCCTACTGGTTCATCGACCTTTTGCTCATTGTATGGCTCTCCTTTTACTATTTACTTGCTCTATTCTTTGGATGATATTTGGCGACCATCTGTTAGATTGGATAAAGTATCTGTTAGCATTGGTATTTACATATTGATGTCAATTTTTGATAATTTCAGATCATGGATTACTGCTACAACCTTTTGAGTAATTGAGCTCAAATGGAACCTTATTCGTTAGTGGCATGGAATACTAATATCTCAATAACAACATTTTTGTGGAGTTAATGTTCACTTAACAAAAAATTGAAGTCATCTGAAGTTTAAGAGACTTAGCTACTGTGATGTTCTCAGTATAAATACACAATCTTTACTGTTAAATGTTTCAATGCCTTGGAGACTAATTAATACATTAAACAACTTAAAAATTTTGGGGCTTGATGAGACTAATGAAAATTTCATGTGAGGAAGCTAGACTTTGTGGGTTGATGATGATCTCTTCTAATCGCAGATTTTGTACTTTTCTTTGAGATGGAAAACTGGATCCAAGACACATTGACTCTCTGAAGAAAATATTCTGTCCTTCTGCTTGAATGATCCATTGACTAGGAGGAAGGGTTACCATGCAAGGTTGGAGTTTATTTATGCTGGCTGGCCACCGGCATATTGGAACAGGTTTGTGAATCTGTTCAGTTTGTACATAGAAAACTAAACAGGTGGATCATCAGATGTTCAGATCCAAAATAAATAGTATACCCTCTTATTGACAGCCTATATAGGATCTGTGATACCCACATCCATATTCTGGATGGCCAATATTTGTGGTAATTCAATGATTCTTTAATTATTATTTAGTCCTCCATAGCGGAACATGCATCACATATTTCTATCTCTGATGGAAGATAGAAATCTAGAAGAAAGCCTGTGATCAAATTAGATGCTTTTTTTTAGGGATAGAAATCTGCCAAACTAAGATTTCCTTGATCCATGCTGTTCATTATATTTCTTCAATAACAAGAGTTACATTGGTTAGACATGCTTCGGAAACTATATTATGTGGTGAAGCAACTGCACTGTGTATGTACTAGGCTATCAGAATAGAGATTGTGTGCATGACTTGTGCTGGATACTCGTGATCATTTCTATGGTCGTATTAGTCAGATCACAGTGTATAAATCATTATGTCTGGAAAATATTTTGTTTTGGGTTTTTCATTTCCAGGGTACTGTACGTAATTTTGTATCATGAGAATGATCTACTTCCAGTTTTGTTCTCAAATCCATTCTAACGAATTCAGCATTATATTTAATTTTATAACAATTTAAGCACTTAGCTTGATTGTCTTGAAAGACCTTTTTGGAGTGAGAGACATCATTGATCATTGATTTCCATGACGATCTTTTTAGCAATTTCAAGTCTTCCATTGAGAGACAGACAAGAATCACCTATTGTAGACATAACTGTGAATTTGTGCTTATTGTAAATTTCTAATCTCTGATCATGATGATTATTGGTTTTTAGAATGATATCAACCTCGATTCATGGTGACTTGTATCTACTAAATCTGTCATGACTCTTTTGATCAAATCAGGTCAGGGACATATTCTTTATTCTGCTTATGTCAGCCTGCATATGCTGCTTGATCATGACAGTTTTGGCCATCAACATTTTATGAACTAATATGAACATTAAGGATGATCTCTTTTCTCCTTATCTATCAGGATTTGATGTTGTTGTTGGTCAGTTCCTTGTGGCTGTGGTGTGTAAATGAAGAACTATCTTCACTTTCAGGTTGGCTTGGCTCTTGTTGTTGAAGGGGAGATTGCTGTTGGTGTTTTGGGCTGCCCAAACTGGAAGGAAGAATCTGTTTCTGTTCAAGGATTGTGTTCTGAAGATAAGATACCAAATATTTCAGAATGTCATGCTAATCAAGCAGGAATACTTATGGTTTCTCATGTTGGCTGTGGAACATGGACAAGGAGGTTATCAAGTATGTTGGGAAACATGGACTTCCTTGTGATACATGATGGTTGGACGAGGTGCTCTGTTGACCCCTGTGCTTTTGTTTACGAGGCTCGGTTTTGTATTCCTGATAGCCAAACTTGGGAATCATTGCCATTGTCAACCATTTATAGTTCAACAACTGATATGGGGAGCAGCATTAAAGACAAAACAAAACTTGTTCTTAAGTCTGTATGTTGTGGAAGGTTTTATTCTTTTACCCCCTCCAGTATTTCATTAACATTACCATCTTATTTAAGTGTAGAAGATTCCTATGTTCTTAATATACTTATTGACTTTTCATGAGATCCTTAATCTGCTCATCATTTTTTTTACTTTAAGATGGTTACTTGACTCATGTCGCTTTTGCCAATTGGTACGGGAGTAAATTATGGGATTCTGCAAGCCCGCAAATCATCAGGAGTTTTGGATACTGTAGAATGTTAATCTTCACATCTCCGCATAGTTGAACAGCCCCGAATCAAGGTTTGTGTAGCTATTGGCATCTCCATATACTCACACACATGCATGTGTGTATATTGTCCATATTTGAGTTCTGCTTGCCTAAGTACTTCAGAGTTGGTGAATTGTGGTAAGATCCAATGAGTTATCTCATTTTACTCTATTGTTTAGTGAAATTTTAGAGGGCCAAAGGCAATCAATGGGCCTAAGGTCCAAATCATCTACAAAGTTTACGGTTTTATGGGGATCTCACTGTTGATACACCTCGCAGGCACCAAACCATTCTAAGAGTAATGACCAGCAGTACCATGACAAAGTGGACTGTGAAAGCTTCTCAAATGCATCTGATTTTGTCCAATTCTATTATTAGAGTGAAAAGTTGTGGTCTTCTTGTACTTTCAAAATTAAAAATGTGTAGCTTGAAGTAGCTTTCACCATGAAAAACACCATACTCAGCAAGAAGCTGCCCAATGTGCAAATTCTTTGCTGTTATGTTAGGCAAGACCCATGTAGGGATGGAAGACACCACCTCTATGCATGATGGACCTCGTGAGTAATTTTGAGCTGCACAGAGTTAGGAGTTTGAACTAGTATGAATTTGTATATTCAAAGCTCTGGCTTTCTTGGTGAGTAGCCTTTCTTGCATAAGATGATTTCTGCAGGTTATTGGTTCTTAGAAACTCTTTGGGATCTTTTTTATTTTATTTTTATTTTTAGTAGTGATTGGTATATTATACATTTATGCACCATTGGTGTAAATGTATTTACTTTTTATTTCTAATGATCATCCTTAATTTATGTTGGCATTGTCTCTCTATTTGCAGCTTATGTAAGTATCTAATGGTTGCAATGGGTATGGCTTCTGTTTTCATTCTTCGTGCCAGGATGAAAACTGTTATAAAGGTTAGCATTATTTTGGTCTTGCAGCTTGAATGTAATAGAGATGATGAAATAAATTGCTTTGGGGAGTTCTTTTATTTTTCATTTTTTCAATTAGGTTTGGGATCATGTTGCTGGTATGATATGTGTCAGTGAAGCAGGTGGCAGGGTAAGTGCTTTCCACCCGTTCTATCTTATAAACTATTCAGGAATTAGTACTAGAATTTTTTTCTTTTTGGCACCAGAATACAGTGTGCATATTTTTTTTGTTTGGGTGATTGAATACAGTACGCATATAGTGATGATGATCTGGAGTTGCTGGCCCTTTCATCTTTTCAGGCATTTGCACTAACATTTCTCTTCCATGCATATGAATCCCAAGTATCTTTTCAATGTGAAATGAAATTTGAATCAGCCTGAAGGTGATATTGAAATCGAGTCTTGCATCAGAAATAAAAAGGTTCTAACATGTCAACACATTTTCATAACTAAAAGTCAGGAATAAAATCCTATTTTACAGAAAACTCAACACAATTTGACATCTGCATTTGGGATCATTCTTTTTATCATCATTCTGAAGGCTTTTAGGTATTGGTGTCCTCTTCTGAATTTTGAAACTGAACAATGCCCTGGGGAAATTCGAGGATAACAAATTTAAATGATTGGGGAACTGATTTGCAAGTTCGAGTTGGAAGTCACGATCTGTAAGTTACAATTCTAGGGTTATGCAGTGGACTGGCCATTTACATGTCTTTTTATGTTTGAGTGAGAATGGTGGTGCACTTGTTGTTGGCACACCGTAACTGCACCTATGTGATAGGCAACTGTCCAATCTTCATGTATTCACTTCCATACATTTTTATAATGTTCGGATGCTAGCATCTGCATGCGAGAGAGAGAGAGAGAGAGAGAGAGAGAGAGAGAGAGAGAGAGTGTAA